GCTTGGTCTACATAGTTCCAGGCCAACTGGGACTATAGGGAGACTCTCAAAATAAACAGCAAAATACATGTATAACTATAAACTATTTTGATGAATACTTTTAGAAATGACACAGTTGCCTATGGGGAGATTTTTGTTTTTAAAGCACCTTAGGAATCAAATAGAGGAAGAAAGTTTTTCACTGAGAATCTTGTACTGTTTGAATGTTTATCATATACAGGTATTAATCATCTGGTAAAAAAAAGTTAATCATAAAAATTGCAAATACCTATTAAGAAAGTCGTACGCATCCATATTTTAAGGGTTTCTTTCTAGAAGTTTCATAACTTCACACAGTCAGTTAACTATTATGCCTTCCCTGACCATAGGATTTAAACTAAAAGATATCTTTTATTGTTTTACTGTTCAGTCATGAAAAAGGAAGAGTCTATACATGCAGCCTCACAGCTGGACAACCAAAATAAGTCTTCAATGTATGCACTCTATATTATATGCTATAGATAATATTTTTAACTGATGAGAAGCTAGTATTCACAGTTAAAATATTAATATTTATGAAATATTATACAGTGTAAGATAAACTTATTCTCCAACTCAGTCCACTCCCTACAAAGAAAGCTAGATGTAGTCCATGCATCATTCCAAAACTTCTGGCAACAAATATTTTTAAATTAATGTAATTTTTTGGTCTTTTTGAAACAGGGTGTTCCTGTAGCCCCAGCTGGCCTGAAACTTGCTATGTAGACCAGGCTGGGCCTTGAACTCAAAGAGATCTGCCTGCCTCTGCCTCCTGAGTGCTGGGACTAAAGGCATGCACCACCACACCCGGCTTGAATGCAATTTTTTAAAACAATGTTTCAACTTGAACATTTACACCCAGCACCTTTTCAGGTACAGGGGATGAGGAATAAAAAATGACTTGGCTAAGTTTACTTAGCTGATATTCTAGTATGAGGAGGCCAGATTAAATAGATAATGTACTTATGCTCCTTCTTAAAGTTATATGTAAAATTTTTAACGAAGAACAAAGAGGCAGAAGTAACAGACAAAGGAGCTGCTATTTTATGCAGAGAAAATGAGTCTTAAGAAGGTGACATCTGAAGAGGTTCCAGAATCACAAAACTTTGGAAAGCAACTAGAAAACTTAAGGTTTTGTCCTCAAAGAAATCAGAACGTGGGTGTCGGGAGGTGACACTGTGTGTCTTGAGATAGTGATATACCTTATGTATTTTGAAAGGATCACTCAAATGGTTTTGTGGAGAATAGACTGGCAGTGGGGAAAGGAAACTGTAGGAACACAGGTAGAAGGCACCAAGCCATCAGCAGACGTTGACACGAACGGTAACCAGGGCAACAACCTTAAGCCTAGTGGTAAGGCCAGTACCCCCTCTACATCAAAATGCTTTCAATCTTCTGGGAGACTGTAATTGAATATCCCTTCTACCCCTTCATAGGCTTGTTCCCTTCAGGTAACTATGTGTGACATTGACCCACATTTTGGGGGGAGTTTGTTTTGTTTTGAAGCAAAATTTCCTTGTAGCCACAGCCGGCACGGAGCTTGCTGTGTAAACAGGCTGGCCTGGATCTCACAGAGATCAGTCTGCCTCTGACTCCCCAAGGCTGGGATTAAAGGCGTGCACCACCATGCCCTTGGCTCACATTTTTTTTTTTTTTAAGTTAAAACAGAATCAGACGGTTCAGTGTAAAAGCACTTGCTGCCAAGCCTGATGACCTGAGTTTGATCTCTGGAACCCACGTGGTGTAAGAGAACAGACTCCACAAGTTTCCTCTGACCTCCACACATATACTGTGGCAAGCATGTACATAAATTGACTAATTAATTAATTAATTAATTAATTAATACACTGCAGAGGAAAATTTAAAACATATCTTTGTAGCTTTGTTAAAGCAAGTGAAAATGATATTCCAGAGAGAAACAGCAAGGATTATCCTAATATCAGTCAGCTTCCCCTTATTTTAACAAATATCTAGGAGAAAATATCTTATAAAGAACAAAGGGTTTTTTGCCTCATGGTTTGGGAGGATTTAGCTCCTGGTTGGTTGGCTTTAGTCCCTGTGCAATGCAGTACATCATCCGAGGAGCAATTAATGAAGGAAGCCCTCACTTCATGGTAGGGAGAGAGGGAAAGTGAGAGAGGGAGAGACAGAGATGGAGTGTTTGGCTAACATACTAATGTCCCCTTTAAGAGCAGCTTCCTCACCCTTTAGGCCCCACCTCTCTCTTCTTCCTAAATTGGCTTTAAAGGCTCTACCACTTCCCAATAATGTCCCAGGCTGTCAGTTAAGCTTTTAACATATAGGACTCCTAGGGACATTTATCCGAGCTGTAGCGCTTGTTAGATGAAACTAAGTAGTGTCACACTTTTAAAAATTAGCACGGGTTAATTAATAGCTGGCTAATTACATATTAATGAGGAAATGTGTTTTCATTTACTGTTCTTATCCATTACCGAAAGAAACTATATATTTTCATGATTAAAATATTAATAACTATAAATAGTGAAAATAGATCTATTATCTTAGATCTCACTCTGCAAAAAATTAAGTACAGAGACTATGTTCATATGTAGACATACAAATATCTTTATAAAATGTGAAATGCAGCTTTGTAAGTTCAAGGCCAGCCTGGTTTACAAAGTGAGTTCCAGGCAAGCCCCACTACAGAGAGACCCTGTCTCAAAAAACAGAAAAAGGGGGGGGGGGGAATGTGATAATTCTGTGCACATGATTCTGCACCCTAGGTTTCCTTCAGTTAATAAAATGTCTTAAACAGCTTTTTATAGTACACATACATCATTAGTATTTTTGGTGGTGGTGGTAGAGGTAGTGGTGGTATTTCTTTTACTTTGTTTTTCAAATATTTTATTTATTATTTTATGTGTATGAGTGTATTGCCTGCATGTGTGTAAGTGCACTCATGTTGTACAATGCCCACAGAGATCAGAAGAGGACATCAGACCCCCTGGAACTGGAGTTATGGCTGATTGTTAGCTGCCATGTGGGTGCTAGCATTTGAACCTGGGTCCTCTGCAAGAGCAGTCAGTGCTCTTAACTGCTGAGCCATCTCTCCAGTCCCTGTTTTATTTCATTTTGTGACAGGATCTTGCTATGTAGTCGTGGCTGGTCTGAAACTCACTATGTAGGCCAGGCTAGCCTCAAACTCATAGGGATCCCCCTGCTTCTGCATTCTGAGTGCTGTGATTAAAGACATGCACCACCATTCCCAGCCAATGGTCACTGTTTTTGGATCGTACAATATGTTCCACTGTATAGACAATGATAACTTTAAAGTGTTTTCACCTATTTGTTCTTATAAACTGTTGAAATTGGTATCCTTTCTGTATGTTTACTATATATGCATACTTCTTCAAATACGTCTAGATGTAATTTTTTAAGTAGAGGTCTTGGTATAAAGAACCCATGAGCCTGGCATGGTGGCTTATGCCTATAAGCCCAGCACTTAGAAAGCTGAAGCAAGAGGGTACCTTGAGCTCAGGGCAGCCTGGGATACAGTACCAGACTTTGTCTCAAACATTCCCCTAAAGAGTGAATACGAATCTTCAGTTTTTACTGATAATGCCAAATGATAGTCCAAATGCCTTTCTTAAATGAGTTCTCTACTCTTCTAAATAGTGAATGAATAGTAAGAGGTTGGTTTTGTTGTTGTTGTTCTTGTTCTTGTTATTGTTGGGAGAGTCGTTCTGAGACAGTCTGATATACCCCAGGCTATTTGGAAACTCAATATATAGGCCAGGTTTACCTTGAACTCCTAATCCTCCTGCCTCTGCCTCCCCAAAGCAGGAATTACAGACCTGCACCACTATGCCCTGCAAAATATTTTTTTAGATTTATTTATTACTTTTATCTGTGTGTGTGTGTGTGTGTGTGTGTGTGTGTGTGTGTGTGTGTGTCTGCATGAGTTTACATTCACCATATAAGTGCCCACAGAGGCCAGGGAGCTTTAGATCCCCTAGAATTAGAATTACAGCCTGTTGTGAACTACCTAATGTCAGTGCTGGGAAATGAACCCAGGTCCTCTGCAAGAACAGCAAGCATTCTTCTTGCTTCTTGCTTCAAGCATTCTGAGCTATCTCTCCAGCCCCGTCAAAACAAATAATTCTTGATGTTCTCAAAATCAACCAAGAACATAACTGAAAACAGACCTAAGAATCACACCAGCACTTTTACATAACACAAAGACAAAGGGAAACAAAACACTGTTTTGTGGAAAGAATTCATTAGTTCATTTTCCCTCTTCCACTAATAGGTGTTTGAAAACTTCACTAAAGGAGTTTCTCTTCAGGAATTCTTTTTCCTAAATCAGTCTCTTAGGAACTCACAGTCAAGGGAAATGAAAGTTAAAGAAAAGGGAAAACACTTAACGCCCTTCCAGAGGAATACAACAGTCCTGCATTTCCAGACAGAGCAGTGAATTTCAACTTTTAGTATTGCAAGCTTTTTTTTTTTTTTTTTTAAACTGTTAGGTTCTTTTTGTTAGTTTGGTTTATTGTTTTAAAGAGTACTCTTCTAGCTGGGTGTGATGGAACGCCTTTAATCCCAGCACCCAGGACGCAGAGCCGGGCAGATCTCTGTGAGACAGGGGGCCAGCCTGGTGTAACAGAGAATTACAGGCCAACTGGGGCAGCGGGGAGACCAGGTCTCAAAAAACAACACAATAAAATAAGCCAAAGAAAAAGATTATACTTCTGTTCTGCAAACTGCAAGCTCTGTAAGGGCGGGGTAGGGAGGAGGCTGGTGTTTGGAGGTTTGGGGCCTTTTATTAGCGTCCCCTTATTGCAGGACAAGGGCTCTACCAACTCCCTTCTGCGGACCTTTCCCCCGTCCACTGTGGCGCGGAGGACGCGCCTCCTGTCTGTCCTCACCCCGCGGGGCGCGGCACATGGACTGTCCCATGACGTCATCGAACAGCGGCCCAATCAGCTGCGGCGTTGGGAAACTTTTAAATTTAAAGGCGGGGCGGCTGTGGGGCTCTGAGGCCGCCGCTGGTCTTCACCTAGTTCCGGGGTCCTCGGCGATGGCGGAGGAGGCGGCGGTGGCCGTGTGCGTGCGAGTGCGGCCGCTCCCCTGCAGGTAGGCCGGCCTGGCGGCTCCCGGGGCCCGCCGGAGTAGGGGTGGAGTCTTTCGCCCGCCGCGCTGCCGGGGTCGGGTCGGGGGCTGGAGGGGGAGGCAATGGAGTCTGTGGGGTTTTCTAGCGTCTGGGCTTCTGTACAAACGCCCAAGCCTCTTTGCCTTTGGGGGCAGATGACAGTTGGAGACGCCTGGCCTCAGGAAGTGCTGACACTTCAAGAATGAAAGGCTAGGTCTGTTAGTCGGTGGAAGACTTTCAGATTGGTTGATTAATGTGGTCGATGGAGTGTACATAGGAATTTGGAAGGTGGCATTGGCAAAATTAGTGGCAGGATTCAGGTGCCTTGTGGCATGTTGAGTGTTTTAGGCGTTTCCAGAAAGTTTCTAAGGAGCCAAGGCTAGTTATGAATGCATTTCAAAAGTAAAGTTGTTACCTCACTTAAAACTTTGTCAAAATTTTTTGCGTGCAGTTTTGTTTTTGTGACTTGATTACCCACATACTCAGTTGCACTTTGGATCTCTGCTGGTACTTGGGTGGAAATGAAGGGTTTCACTGGAGGCTGAAGAGAAGCAGGAGGTCACTAAGCTTCATTTTAAAAGAGTTGAGCCCTGAACCTTCCAAGATAGACTTTCTGCTGTCTTTTCAAATGTTCTTCAGAACAGAACATGAAATGTTTTAAAATATCCTTCTTGTTATGTGACTTCTGTGACTAGTTATGTTCTAAAGTGTAGCATTCTGTTCTTTCAGAGAAGAAGAACTTGGAGAAGATACCCATGTTTACTGGAAAACTGACAATAATGCCATTTATCAGATTGATGGGAGTAAATCCTTCAATTTTGGTAAGCTAATAACAGCATCAAAAGTTAGTTTATACTAGGCATGGTGGCCTGTAGTTCCTGCATTCTGCAGTCTAACACAGGAGAATCAGGAGTTCAAAGCTAATCTGCAAATTCAAGGCCACAAAGCAAGATCCAGCCCCCACCCCCAAAAAATAACGAAAAAAAAAGGAAAAAAAGAAACAAAGCGATTGTTATCTTTTTACTGTTAAGAGTACGAAACGGGGACTGGAGAGATGGTTCAACAGTTAAGAGCACTGGCTACTCTTGCAGAGGATCTGGGTTCCATTCCCCCGCGCACACAGGGTCTAACAACCATCTATAATTCCAGCTTCCAGGGAATCTGAGGCCCTCTTCTGGACTCCTTGGGCATTGAATGACAGAGTTGTGTTTTAACATCCGTGCATGCAAAACACTCATACACATAAAATAAATCTTGACCTCCACAGCATTGCATGACACAGGTGCACTCACATACATGCAGGCAATACACCCGTACACATAAAATTTAAAAAGTAATAAATAAAATATATTTAAAAAAAGAAAATTTTAAAAAAATTTAATACTTTATGATTTTTTATTTTGTGTGTATGAGTTTATTGCCTGCATGTATGTGAGTGCCCCCATGTTGTCAATGCCTGTGCAAGTCAGAAGAGGGCATTAGATTCCCCTGGAACTGGAATTAACGACAGTTTGTAGTTGCCATGTGGGTGCTGGGAATCAAACCCAGGCCCTCTGCAAGAGCAATTGGTGCTTTTAACCACTGAACCATCTCTCCAGCCCCTTAAGTGTACAAAAAGCATGTTAGTGATAATAAATTTGCTGCTAGTAATCTGTTAACTGTTTCACCAGAAACAAAAATGTGTTGCTTATCCTTATATGATAATAAACTGATATTTATAACAGATATAACCATAGTTATATTGTACATATACGTAACATGTACAGTGTTACATAATGTCAAGTCATCTTTAAGCTCTTTACATTTAGTATACGCCTTTCAAAGTTATTTTCAATGAAACTCTTGTTGTTGTTTTGTTGAGACAGGGTCTCACTATGTAACCCTGTCTAGTCTAGAACTCAATTTGTAGACCAGGCTGGCCTTGAACTCAGAGCTCTCTGCCTGCCTCTGCCTCCCAAGTGCTGGGATTAAAAGCATATGCCACCACTCCTGGCTTCAATGAAACTTTTCAACAATTAGCAAAGATATTTCTTGTTTATGTGCTAAATATATCAGGTACCCACTCTGCTTGTGAGAAAGTTTTGTCAGAGTTTATAGTAAGAAATCTAATTTAATCCAAGTGTATCCGTAATTGTACCACTGATACTGAGACCTGAAAGCTGTCTGTCCAAGAAGACTGTGGCTCAAGGAGTCTAGGTTTCTTTATTGACTTAGTATATACAAAATACTGATCATGTGCCAGGCACTGTTTTAAACATTATGTCATGTTCGTTTGTTCTATGTAGTAAGCACACTTGCCTTTGCCTTTTTTATTTATTCTTTTTTTTCTTTAGAAGAAGCATTTCATTGCAGCTTTAACATGCTCATAGTTTCCAGAGCAAAGATACATCTCTTTCAAAAGTAGCTATAAAATTTTTAGGTTCGCTGTTGAATTAATACAGTTACACAATATTGAACTCGGTATAAACCCTGTAAGACATAAAATTGAATGAGTTTTTAACCTTTAAAAAAGATTTCCATTTCACTTTAGAATATAATGTTCCTTTCAGAAAGACTCATTGTTTTTGTTACTAACACTGAGATGTTGGCGCATGCATCTCTAATCTATATCTGTATGTATCTGATAATTACTAGTCATAATTGGTTGCACTTGGATTCTTGGCACCTGTGTATGTCTATAAAGTTGTCAGGTAGATTTCAGTAGTAATGTTTATCACCTCTACTAATTAACATGACGTGACTTCTTATGTTTCCTCCTCAAATATAATTCATTTTTTTAAATTTGTTTCTATTAACTATAGGGAAAAAAGAAGTCCTTGACTGGTGCCTAGGCGATGCGAAGGATAAGTAAAAGCAAGAATAGTTTGCATTACAAGTTCTAGACAGGGAACCAGAAAACAGTCAGGACAGGGCAAATTCAAATGTCCAAATCAAAGTCCACTGGAATTTCTTGATGAGGGCTTCCAAAAGCATCCACCTATTGGGTTCCTCCTCATCTTCCTTTGGGTTGACAAGGCTGGACTCGAGAGTGAACTCAGGATTTGTTTTCAGGCACTTTGACAGATATTCAAGTAGCTAGAATCAATGTCAGTTCCTTCTCAAATGCTTCTAGATAGAGAGAGAAAACAAATTTAGCCATCATTTAGCTTTTAGGCTAGAACAATAGCTGGCTGTCTCCCTCAGCTGCAGGTGGGCACTACAGAACTGCAGGCCAAGATTTGAAGTCTTACATCTGAGTAGCATTGTCTTATTAGAAACAGACTCATACTTTAATCTTTGGTTATACTTTCCTTTTGGTTGTTTAAGATCATACAGTTGGCCCAAATAAATCAATCTATTTTTACTCGGGCATTTGAGGATCTGTTCGTCAGGGGTCACATGGGCTTGGGAGGAGCCCCTGGCTCCTTTCTTTTACCAGTTCCGCCTATGTGAAGATAAGTCAAAGGTCCTGCTTGACCACGGCTGGCTTCGCTTGGAAACATAGAGGAAATGATTCCTCTGTATTGACCCTCCTCTTTGTAGACTGGACACTGGTTCAAGTCTTATCTCGTGGGGTCTCCAATTGCCTTTCCCTTTTTTCTTTTTTTTTTTTTTTTGTTGTTGCTGTTCGTTTTTTGAGACAGGGTCTCCCTGTAGCCCCAGCTGTCCTGGAATTCACTATGTAGACCAGGCTGGCCTTGAACTCACAGAGATCTGCCTGCCTCTGCCTCCCGAGTGCTGGGACTAAAGACGTGTGCCACCATGCCCTGCTGCCTTTCCCATTTTTAATGAGGAACTAAAACAGAGGTCTGGAGTTGTACAGCCGTTGCGTAGAAGAAACAGGCTCCAGTATGTTCTAGACACATCATCATAATGTCAGGTTGTTAATTTAGTGTTAAAACTAGAAAGACAACACTTTTGAGGCATGTAGAAATAAAATGATTCCTGGTAGACAACTATTTCATGATTTTAACATAATTTTTTAAACCTAAAACTAGTCAGGTGTGGTGGTGCATACCCTTATTCCCACCACCTGAGGGGCAGAGGCAGGAGGATCTCAGTCTGAAATCCAGGCTACGCAATCTTGGCACGGTGCTTTGGTTTCCCATTACTAGAAGACAGGTATGTGACCTTGATGGAAGCAAGACTATCACTGAGCTTCTTGCTCATACATTACGACCTTAAAATCTGTCCCTGTGAACTTTTTCATATGGGGCCACTATAGAGTCTTTTTTTTTTCAAGTCAGCTAACAAAAGCAAAGAATCAGATTCTTGAATGGCAAATTTATTGGTGCAAATAACTAAATCCAGACTATAGCAGGCAGACGACTGATTATTTACTATAAGACTTTTTGTTCGGTGTTTTGTTTTGTCTTTAGGTCTACATTAACTTGAGCTAGGCTTCTAGCAAGAATATATTATAAAATAAATTTTCTCAAAAATTAATAATAGTTCACATTTTCTAAGTACTAAGTCTGTTCACGCTATAAGGATAATAATAGATACCCATTTTACAGATTAGAGACAGAGACCTGACATTTAAAAGGTCCAGCAGGATTGGTACCAGACGGATTCAAAAACCCCATATGCAGCCACTGTACCCTACTGCCTTTGAAAAATGCATAGGATGATTTTTCTGTATGAAGGACCAATGCATTTTACTTTTGAGAAGGGTGTTCTCAGGAAAGAAGAAAGTTTAAGAACATACTTTGTTAACTACTTCACCATTCTAGATGCTGGCAGTTTATTTCATGTAATTAGTAATTCCATGAAAACACGGTTTTGTTTGACTCAACTTCTGTGTTCTTTTTAGATCGTGTCTTTCATAGCAGTGAAACAACTAAAAATGTGTATGAAGAAATTGCAGTACCGATCATCGATTCCGCCATACAAGGCTACAACGGTTTGTGCTTCCTTCATAGTGCAAAAACGTTTTCGTATTTAGTGTCCTTTCCGTAGATACAGACAGTTTTACTCACCATAAGTTTGGGACTTTGCTTGTGTTTTTTAAGTGTGTTTTGCTTGTTTTATAGGAACGATATTTGCCTATGGGCAAACTGCATCAGGAAAAACACACACTATGATGGGTTCCGAAGACTGTTTGGGAGTTATACCCAGGGCAATTCATGACATTTTCGAAAAAATTAAGAAGGTAATAATCGTAGACTTCCTAGCACATATAGATAAAAGCAGTGGTAATTGAATCACAGTCAGTTTTTTCCTCATTTAATGATGAAAAAATGTAGGTTTATAGTTGTGTCCTGCGTTTCATGGGAAAAGAAGAAAGGTATTGATACACAAACTCTATAGAGCTTAAAGTTCTTTAATTCCTTCCATGAGTACTACAAAGATATTATTCCCAGCAAAAGTAGACTAAAGAGTAGGAAGGTCTCGTCAGAACAGTCAATTCCATATTAACTTTATTTAGTTCCTGGTGTGATTATTAAGGAGCAGTAAAGTAGCGATGAACAGAAGAGGAGGAACGTGGCAGACGCTGTGGAGTGCACCGCCGGCTCGGTTGGGGCTGTGAAGGTGCCATTTCATTAAAGCGGTGCTTTTGCATTTTTGTGTTTATTATCATCAACATAGTTTGATTTTTTTTTTTTTTTTGCAGATAACTGTCTTCTTTAGCTCTTTCGTACTGATGCATAAGCATTCGCTGTTTTTCTAATTGGGTGATCTCTGATGTTTCCCACATTTGTGTTTTTCTCTTAGTTTCCTGAGCGAGAATTTCTCTTACGGGTATCTTACATGGAGATCTACAACGAGACCATTACAGACTTACTCTGTAATGCTCAGAAAATGAAACCTTTGATTATTCGGGAAGATATCAATGTGAGTGATAGAATTACGGTGACTTCACTAGGCCTGCATAACAGTGGGCCTGTCAGCAATCAGGCATGGAAGGAGCAGGCACTCCTGGGTCCCACCCCACACTGCGGAACTATTTGCTGATAGATTCAGAGAGGAGGGAGAGTCCTTGCCTTTACTTGTGTACCTGCTGGTGACCCCATCAGGCTCCGACATATAGTTCCAATCCAGTGGTCACACAGATGGCCCTGGTTAAATAAACTGAGTCACAAAACCAAAGCAAAGGTCATCAGGAAAGAACTGGTACTGATGATGGGAGGTTGATAGAGATGAGAAGGAAGTAAGAGAGGGGTTGGGGTAGAGAGTGATCAGAATACATTACTTACATATATGAAACTGTCTGATAAAGTTATCAATAAAAAATTTTTTTAAGGTTGGGCATGGTAGTACATGCCTTTAATCTCAACATGCAAGAGGCAGAGGCAGAGGCAGACAGATTCCTGGATTTAAAGCCAGCCTAGTCTACACAGTGAGTTCCAGGCCAACCAGGGCCACATAGTAAAAATTCTTTTTTAAAAAATTAAAGTAATTTTGAAACCAACACACATAATGGGATTGTTCAAAATGCATTTTAAAAGTATCTCACATTTGTGTTTTTCTCATTCTAATTGTTTTTAAAAAACCTTTGAAGCAATATGTATAGTTTTGAGGTACTGGCTACTTTAATATTTTGTTTTCAGTGCCTAAAAAATAAAAAGCAGAGTCAAGGTAGAATTTTTTATGCTTTAATGGAAGCAGTAAAATTGTGACTAAATTGGGTTTTTTCCCTACAGAATAATGATTTCATATTTTTACTTTCACAAATGCATTCTTTTTGAGACGCAAGCTGTTTCTCCAATCTTTCTATAATTAAACTAATTTCAGAGGAACGTCTATGTTGCTGATCTCACGGAAGAAGTAGTTTACACCTCAGAAATGGCTTTGAAATGGATCTCAAAGGGAGAAAGTAAGACTGCTATATTTTTTAAAAACACTTATCAAAACTATCAATCAAGTCTTATCTTTATTAAGCTAAAATAGAATTACATACACTGGTTATCATTAGGCTAAACTATAATTTGATGTTTTTCTTGAACTTTAATGTGCATGCAGCTGATATATGACTCGTTTCCACAGAGAACAGACATTACGGAGTCACCAAAATGAATCAAAGAAGCAGTCGTTCCCACACCATTTTTAGGATGGTAGGTCATTCTGTTGCTCCCGTATTTGATCTTTCGGAGTAAGAACTCGTTTTTAACAAGTTGCCTTCTCTATCTAGATTTTGGAAAGCAGAGAAAAAGGTGAATCTTCCAATTGCGAAGGGTCTATCAAGGTCTCTCATTTGGTGAGTTTTAATGAATTGTAACAATCCATATGGGCCAAAATTAGACAATTTACCTAATAGATAGTTGCTTTAATAAGAGCTGTTAACAAAATGGGGAAATTTCAGGAAGCCGGCAGCTTCCGTGGTCTTACTAGTAGCTTCAGGTTACTGGCTAAAATGTTACAGTGAGAGTTTAGTGTTTTTCTTCCTGCTAGGTGATGACTGCCATCTCCTGATTCAGATGTGAGGACTGTAGAAACCAAGTCTTTTCCCAACCGCTGATACAGTCTGAGTTTTTAGGAGGTTTTTTTGTTTTTGTTTTTGTTTTTTTAAAAATCTCAGCCAATATAATTTGTACTTGTATGATCAACAAAAAACTAAGTAGACTAGTTAAAATGTGTACCTTTTTTTCCCTTAGTAACAATGAGAAAGTATGTTTATAAATGGTGGGAAATTTTTGTATTTCTGTTTTGCTGTCTAGGGATCAGTCTTAGGGCCTTGTACATGTTAGGCAAGTGTTCTACGATTAAACTGCTGCCATCCCACCCATCACTAGTATTTTAGACTATAAATCCATTGAACAGGGGAGTAATTCTACATCTGTCTTTTATTTCCAATACATCACCAAGTTTATGTTCGATACATGTTTGCTGAAAATGAGCATTGTATAAACACTGCTTTATGTCACATAAGTAAACCTCCCATTTACTTCCTTTTTTACTGGCAGAGCGTCACTATGTTGCCCTAGAGGGCCTTAAAATCATAATCATCCTGTATAGACCTCTCAAGTGCTAAGATAATAGATGTGTGCTGTCATGCTTTGAAAAGTAGATGTTAAGTTAATATCTAGTCCTAACTGCACATTATTTTGCTGTAAAAAGTATATAATTTAATTTTTAATAGCAAGAATATAAAACCTAACCTGTTCTAACTCTGACCTAAGCAGAGTATCACTAAGCAGACCCACTTAATTTAACTATAATTTTAACATTTTTTCTTGGTTTTAGTAGTTTAACGTACTTGTTTATTTTGCTCAGTCTTTGAGGCTTCGTTACCTGTGGATCTTAGATATGTCTGTGCCAGCCTTTCACCCTCTATACTTCCTATAAAAATCTTCTGGGACTCTCTCTTATTAAAATAAAGGTCAGAGGGAAAAGTCCATGTGGCGGTGGGTAGAAATTGGAGGGGAGGGTATGGAGGAGGGTGGATTGAATCCAGACACATTGTGTATATGTATGAATGTTAAAATGTTTAATTAAAAGTTTAAAAATAAACCAATCATTTTAAAAGTTAAAGTCTTCTGGGCTACAATTGATGCAGGCCTTTGATCCCAGCACTTGGGAGAAAGAGGCAGGTGGAGTTCAGTGAGATCAGGGCCAGCCTGGTCTATATAGAGAGTTCCAGGCAAGCTGGGGCTACAGGAGACCCTGTCTCAAAACAAATAAACACAATCTTCTGGGATCAAAGTCTCCCCTCAGTCCTCTGTGGCTCGTCGGGTGGCTGTTTGCTGACTGCTTCCTGGTCTTGGGGGAGTGGTACCAGCTGGGTTCTTTCAGTTCTGCATTGCCTCCTTGCTCACGTGTCATCTTCTCTCTTGCCCTTCTGTCGAAATCTTGGGGGCTCTGGCCTTCCACACTCTTCCTTATGCATTCTGTCACCATTTCTGTGTTGGCTGCGAAAGCTTTGTTTTATCGCAGGTGTCTTGAGTTTCAATCCACGTCTTCCTCAAGAAGATTATTGCAGTAGTGTCTGTTCCCAGTATCTGAACCTTCAGTGTATCGAAATCAGAATCAATTTCTTCCTCACATAGTGACTGTTCTTTTTCTTTCCTAGTGAAATCAACAATCTACACAAAGGCAAGAAATCTAAAAAGTTTGATTTATCCTTTCCTTAGTCCCTCTGTCCAGTTGTTCCATTTCTTACTGTTGCATCTTGGTACGTTCCTGTGTGTAGTATATGCATTTAAATTGCCATGTCTCTTAAACCGCTATGTCCGTCTTCTGGAACCTGGCCTCCATGGCGCTGGTCTTCCTTTCTTCAGTCTGTCATACAGATTTCTAAGACTATCAAACAATGCATCGTTATGTCGCTGCCTTGGACGAGATCTGGTCACTCTCCACTGATCTCACTTAACTTCTGAAACCCTACACAAGCTCTACCCTCAAAGTGAGTCTCTGAATATGAAGTCATTCTCACTGTAATGATTCACTCACACTGCCGCCATTTCCACTTCGCCTGGTTATTATGTGTCTAAGGCATCTGTAGTGGGTGCTATGCAGCAAAAATGGGTGTAAAGAGTATCTGAGCGAGGGCTGTAGAACAGGACTACATCGCTGTGGACCTCTTGAAACTCTCCACAGAGAAATAAAGCTTTGGCTTTCTTTCCGAGGCATTCAGAATATATACTGAACCCTTTCCACATTGTGAGGTGGTGGTGGGCTCTGAGGTTAATAAAGGTGACCGGCGTCTTCTCCTTTGTTACGGATAGTCTCCACCTTGCTGCCTAGGCGGGGCTGCCACCATCACACCTGTGTCCTGTGTCTGCCTCCTGACTGGGCCGCTGCTGCCACTCTTGCCCCCTGCAATCCATTTTGCACTTGGGCCACAGCTGATCCCTTAGAAAGCTGAATCACGTTATATTTAGTACCTGCATAAAGCCTTCTTGTGGCTTTCCATTGCATTTAGGAAAGCCACTGTTCTCAGTCTTGCTTACAAGACCTGCATAAGCTGGCCCCTGCCTACTTCTCATACCCTATCTTGTCCCAGCCTCAGTTTATCAGTTGTGCCACACTATCTGGGGCGGGTTTGGTTGGTTTGGTTTGGTTTGGTTTGGTTTGTTAAGAAAAGCTGGCCTGGAACTCTATGTAGCAAAGAATCCTGGAACTTAGCATGTTAGGCGTGGCTGACATGGAACTCAGGCCCGTCCTCCTGCCTTAACCTCCCAAGGTCTAGGATTACAGGCAGGAACAGGCAGCTCCTTTCTGCATTGTTATTGAATGCCAAGCAAGTCTGTTCTGTAAACTGGCGTGCTGCTTTTCTTTCTGAATAGAGTGCAGTTTCCCTTAATCTCTTCCTAACCGACTCCCTCTTTGTCATTCACATCTCAGCCCAGCCACAGGCCTTCCCCTGCCACCTAATCCAGACACTGAATGTTGTGCTTTTTGCCCTTGCGCAGCTGTCTGTTTAAATTGGTCTCTTACACTTCCTATGCATCTTTTCTCTCTTCTCATGACCTCCTCTGTAGAATATAAGCTCTGTAAGAACAGAACTTGTTTGATTCTCTGATGTTGCCCCAGCACCTGATACACTGCCCAGAGTGCAAATAGCTACTCTTTCCAGTGTTGCTTATGAAATGAGAGGCCCAGCTTTTAAAGATGCTGCGGTGTTATTTGGGACATGTGTAGCCAGCCCAACAGAGTAAGTGCTATGAGAATAAGTCTCACCACTAAAGAGCTAGGATGTACACTTAAGGACTGTATCGTTCTAGATGTGGGGAAAGAAAGATAAAGGTGGCAAAGTATATATACTGAGGGACAGTGTTTACCCTGCTTCTCAGTAAGGGTAGACTGAAACATCAAAAGTAACTAAAGAACGAGCAGCATAAGCCACAGCAACACAGGCCAGGTTGCAAAGGTCATGCTCACCTTGCTCAAGTTGTAGACTTTGTAGGACACAGCCCACTTCCACATTATGGAAAATGTACTATAAACAAAGAAGGAACAGTGTAGAAGCCAGTGTGGCTCAGAGAAGAAAGGAGATGCCTAAACAGTGGATTCAGAGACAAGGCTTCAGAGGGGACCTTCCAATACCTTTAAAATGTTCCCTCACCAATTTAGATTTTATTCTTTCACACTACATGCCCTAAATACTTATTTTCATCTGTCCTACAGAATTTGGTTGATCTCGCAGGCAGTGAAAGAGCTGCTCAAACAGGAGCTGAAGGTAATGAGAATTTGATGCCTTCTTGTTTATGAACTGGAAGTGTTGGTGAAGTTTTGATATCCTCATGAATGCCTTCGACATAAAAATCAACATCTATGCCTGGTTGGCTGTTCGCTTAGAGCTACCACAGCATCAATTAAAAACCTAAATTACTCATTTGGAGGTATCACAATACCCAACCTCAAATTATACTACAGAATTATAGTGATAAAAACAGCATGGTATTTGCATAAAAACAGACCGGTAGGCCTATGTACCAGAAAAGTGGGCCCTTTAACCACAGCACTTGGGAGTCAGAGACAGGCAGATCTCTGTGAGTTCAAGGCCAGGTAGGGCTACACAGTGACCCTGTCTCAAAAAGACCAAATAGAAAAAAAAAAAAAAAATGTTAAAAATCTGAAAAACAGTATTGCGGAGCTTTAGAATGTGTCCCACAGGGAGAAATTGCAACATCAATGCCAGAGTTAACTAAGTGGGTTCTAAGGTTAACATTATCGGTTTGATTTTTTCTATTCTTATATGAATAGTAAAATATAAGGAAAGCAAAATAAAAGGTAGTAGGTACAAAATTAATAGATACTAATACCTCTTCCCAGCCCCTAGAACTTGCATTTTTTAAAATGCAAGAATCAGCAGCGGCATGGCCATTGTTTCCTGGGGGATAACGGCAGCCAGGTGCTTTTCCAAGTCTGTTTTTCCCTTAACGTTCTAAGTCATGTAAGCGTGAGTTTCTGTGTGGATTTTGAGTCATTTAGTGGCTTTCTCCTGCTACATGCATCTTACTGCCCAAATCTTGTTTAAAACAAAATAAAACAATCTGTAAAATGTGGAAAAAAATTAAAAATAAAAATTAATGACGTTTTGTTGGAAGTCCATGATTACCTTTATTTTAAAGGTTTATAAAAAGTAGGTTTGAACTGAGGCATTAAAGGACCTTCGGAAACACTTTTCCTCCTCTTTGCTTTTTCCTGGTGCTTTTCCATTGCTTACCTTAGGTGTGCGACTCAAGGAGGGCTGTAATATAAATCGAAGCTTATTTATTTTGGGACAAGTGATCAAGAAACTTAGTGATGGACAAATCGGGTAAGTCTGTCCCACTGTATGTTGATTTACGCTTTTTTATTAGATGAAAAGTTAGACTTCAGTAATTTCTTCTATACATTAAAAAGCTTTTGAGTTTAGTGAGCTAGCTTCTTTAAGAATGTATATTTTTATTTGAGATGTGGTAATTGTTCAGTGTACAATGTCCCATTTCAATATGGGCACGTGTGATGGGCAGTGATCAGACCAGGGTAAGTGATATCCGTCATTTGCAATGGTGTTCTTCCCTGTTGTACACAAATTAATATATTTGATGCTCATCATACTATGGGAGTCCCTGGATGGTTTGGCCTCTCCAGGCCTCCTTTTCCCTGGGTCCTTACACAGCTGATAAAATGCACCACTGCATATGTCAGAACCAAGAGGATTCCCACTCCCCACCCCAGCACTGGTCTACCAGCTACACTATGACCTCTTCTCTTTGTATGTTGTAGCTTGAGCTGATATGCCTAGAGAGCCCTTTTATGGTTTTTACTAGCATGTATTATACATAACAATGTGTTTAGTTATGACATTTCAATACATGTATACAGTATATGAGCGTAGCTCCTTATGCATAGGACTATAACTGCCTGAGTTAACTTTCTAAGTTATAGGGTTTGGGGTTTGTTTGTTTGTCTGAGATAGGGTCTCACTATGTAGGCCTGACTGTCCTGGAATTCACAGAGATCCGCCTGCCTCTCTGCCTCCCAAGTGCTGGGATTAAAGGCTTGCACCACCATACCTGGCTTACCTTAAGTATTTTTAGTCAGTAGTTTTGATTGCCTTATGCAGCCTGTCAAAATGTAATTTCTAAAACTATGACTAAATAAATAAAAACTATGATTAAGTGACTGTTTTAAAAAGATATTTATATATACATTCCCAATCTTTTTCTTCCCAAACTTATTTCTTGCTAAGTGGTTTCATTAATTATCGAGATAGCAAATTAACACGAATTCTTCAGAATTCCTTGGGAGGAAATGCCAAAACCCGTATTATCTGCACAATTACTCCAGTGTCGTTCGATGAAACCCTTACCACCCTACAGGTGAGTTTGATTTTTATCTCATCTTACTGTAGGGGAAGATGAACTTTAAGAAGAAAAAATTATCTGTCAAAATGAGGAGTCATTTTCTATCATTGATGTAATACCTGCTATAATAAAACTGGTGTGTGTTCTACTAAATAGCATTCTTTAATTTACTTTTTGCAGGCCTTAATAATTTGTATCCACCCTCCCTCTACAATTTTACAATTTTGGACACATCTAAAACTTTTAACTGAAATGATTTGATTTTTTTTTTCTTTAACTTACCTTTTGTATTTGATATGATATGATAATTAGAAGCCTTATGTTAGGTCATATGAATGAAAAACTGGTGTTACTTGCCACAAATAGAAAGTACTCCATCCATATATGTGAGTGAGAGAGAGAGAGAGAGAGTGTGTGTGTGTGTGTGTGTGTGTGTTTAACTTAAATGCTTAACTGAATTTCTGCTGTTCCTTGCCTCTGAGCTGCAGGCCTGCCTTTTCTGTTTAAAAAGAAAGAGCAGAAGGAGAGGAGAGGAAAATGAGAAGGATTCGATATTGCTTCATGGCCGCCTTCATAGACCCTTATACCACCACTTTACGTAGCTGTTGAGGGGATTGGGATTGTAACTCAGTGGTAGAATGCTTGCAGAGCATGCACAGGCTCTGGGATTTTTTCCCCATGGGGTGGAAATGCAGCGATGCTTTAATTTCTTTTTCTTTTTTTGTGTTTTTGAGATAGGGTTTCCCTGTAGCCCCACCTGGTCTGAAACTAGCTATGTAAACCAGGCTGGCCTTGACCTCATAGAGATCCATCCGCCCCTGCCTCCTGAGCGCTGGGATCAAAGGCGTGGGCCACCACATGCGGCAGTGATGCCTTAGTAGTTTAAAGCTGGACTGATGGTGCACTCCTCTAATCCTAGCGTTTGGGAAGCTGAGGCAGGTAAGCTTGGATACCATTTGTAATAATCTTTCAAAAAAGAAAAAAAAAAAAATAAGGCAGATATAGTGACATATGTCTCTAATTATATCTCTTGGGAGGCACAGACAGGCCGAGTTTAAGGGTAGCCTGGTCTAAATAGCAAGTTTTACGCCTATCTAAGACATATAACAAGACTCTGTCTTTAAAAAAGAGTACTTGAACACTAGGTCAGTGCCCTGCCAGTGTCACAGAATTTATAGAATCAATAAGATTTGTCTTCCAACACGATTAACTTGAATTAATAAAGTGGTTACTAAGAATAGAGTTGGGGGTGGGAGATAAAACACTTGCTATACAAGCATGAGATCCCTAGCACCCATAAAAGTTGGGCAGGGCTGGGAGCCCACCAGCAGTCTCTGCACTCAGGAGGTGAAGACGGAATCCCAGGGGCAAGCTGCTAGCTAGACTAACCAAACTGGTGAGCAAGGTTCAGCGAGAGACCCTGCCTCAGTAGATAAAGCAGGGCAATGGAGGACGGTGCCCAACAGCAGCCCCGGGCTTCCACACACATGTGAACACACATATACCCCATACACACACCAGAAAAAAAGATACAGTGTTCAAAGAAAGGACGCGCACTTTCAGCCAGAAGTGGTGCTTCAGAGCAGGGGAAAACCCTGGGGAGTAAAGAGGACGGTAGCCAGCCTCGGCAGGGCCTGGTGGCGTTTGCCTTCAAGACACTGTTTCAACACTCAGGAGACGAGTGTCCAGACTAAGTTCCACAGCATTTGTTAGAATGCTCCCTGAATTCAGGAGTATTCAGCCAGCTCAGAAGAGTGTTTCGTTTTGTGAATTTTCAAAGAAACTTGATTGCAAGAAACCTAAATATTATTTTTTCTTTCTAAATCTTGCTTTTATTTTATACAACATGATACTCTTCAATTCCAACTTTTTTCCTGCAAATGTAATCTCATTCTTTATGACTGAATATTGGTGTACTTTATAGGCCACACTTTCTCTGTCCAAATTTCTACTAGCCTGATGCCATAAGCATGCTATTTTGACTAGTGCAGCAATCAGCAGGACAGTCTAGGTATTTCTGTTGTGTATGCTGACCCTGATTCTCTTGGGTAACTATCTAGGAGCAGTATGATTGGATGACCTGGTAGTTCCGTTTTTTAGTTTCTTGAGGAACTTGCATAATGATTTTTATAATTTATATTTTAAGCAGTAATTTTATTTCCACCAACAGGATAGGAAACCTAAATATTATTTATTGATAGAATTATGTTAATATTGAACATCCTATACTTTGGTTACAGTTTGCCAGTACTGCTAAATACATGAAGAATACTCCTTATGTCAATGAGGTGTCAAGTGATGAAGCTCTCCTGAAAAGATACAGAAAAGAAATAGTGGATCTTAAGAAACAATTAGAGGAGGTATGTTTGAAGTATTTAGTAAAGACTAAGAACCAATTTCAAATAATAGAAACCTGCCTAAGAGACTCAAAATTCATGAATATCTGAGTTGCTGTCATTTAAAACAGTTTTTAACTAAAAAGAATTCAAGTCATAAAAATTTAATGTTAGGACTTGGAATCATACTCAGTGGTAGAGTACTTACCTAGCATGTACAAGGCCTTGGATATGAAACTAACAACAAAAAAAAATTACTTAAACTGAAAGATCTTGTTTCTTGTGGTTGGGGATGTTGCTGAGTTAGTAGGATGCCTGTATAGCATGTACAGAGCCCTAAATTCAATCACAGCACCTAATAAAACCAAGTGTGGGGATGGGTATGTATAATCTCAGTACCTAGGAGGTTGAGACAAGAGGATCAGCAAGTTCAAGATCATCCTCTGCTATGTAACCAGTTCCAGGCCAGATTACACTGCGTAAGACTGCATCAAAAAAAAAAAAAAAGGCGGGGAGGAGGACTTAGGGGTGAAATCTGTGGTTTTGCTTTTTTTTTTTTTTTTTTTTCAAATTTTACTCGTTTATTTTTTTCATTTCTAAGAAGCACTTTTATTTAAATTTTGTTGTTTTCAAATGACCTAAATAGAAACTTTTAAATGTTCTCAGAAATACATATTGAATTCTGTTTTGAGAGCCCTTCCATCCATGTGTATTGTTATATAGTTACTTAGCTGCCTTCTGTATTTTCACATTCTCCTGAATGCCTCTTCCACCCCAAGGGTAGCAGCTGGCCCTCTAAGTATAGGACAGTCAGCCAGTCATTCTAGTTAGTTTGTCTTAATCAGCATGCTCATGTCTTGTAAAAATCCTTCATTTTGGTGATCTTGTGAAAAATGAACTAGTGTCAAATGACAATCTTTTATGATGAAAGCATTTCAGCTTTTACTGTCAGTTTTCAAATACCAGCTTCTGTGGCTCATCTGCTTATCCACATAGTCACAGGCAATTAGTAGAATTGTTTTAATAGCATTATTATCCTCACATGATGTATATTATCATAATGAGAAGGTTGTGTATGGTTTCAAGGATATTGAATTCTCATAAAGTGCATACAAATATGACATTTGTTTATAATTACATACAATATAAAATGTGTTAATGAAGTTATCTTTAAGGATTTAAAATCTTGCTACATTTATAGTTAGCATAACCCAATATTGTATTATTTAGGTGAATATGAAAACTCGAGCACAAGAAATGGAAAAAGACCAGTTGGCCCAACTTTTGGATGAAAAAGACCTGCTTCAAAAAGTACAGGATGAGAAAATTCAAAACTTAAAACGTATGCTGGTTACCTCTTCCTCTATTACATTACAACAGGAACTAAAGGTAAAATTTAAAAGATGGCAACTTGAATGTGACATATAGAAAATAGAATAAACCTTTCTGTATGTTTACTTTAAGATTTTATACTTTTTAACACTTGGATAGAAAATCTTTAAGAACCTTAGAGCATTCTGTGTATTTGCCTCTATCATCCCTACTAATATCATTAAAATTGCCTCTCTCTAATTCTTAGTTGTAGAGAATCAGTGAAGGGATCAAGTTCTACTTCCCAGCAATTGTACTTTTTATTTTTCTGGAGTAGGATTGCATTTGTCTGGTAGGTGTATGGGGGTGTCTTGTTTAGAATGGCCTCTAGAGCTAGACCAATTTAATTCTAATCCCAGTTCCATCAGTTACTAACTCTTGACCTTACCTGTGGGATAGCTGCCACCCTCGGCTTAAGTATGTTTTCCTAGAGTTTTAAGATTAAACTACACAAATGCAATTCTACGACACCAGGGCTAGAAAGATGGCTCAGTGGTTAAGAGCACATACTGCACTTCCTGAGGACCTGAATTCAATTGCCAGCACCCACATCCAATGGCTCTCAATTGCCTGTAACTCCAACACCCTCATCTTGCCTTCACAGGCATACACATGGCACACACATGTACACATAAATAAAAACAAATATATATTTTTTAAAGAATTCTACCACATCAATGGCTTTTTAAAAACAGGAGCTAGTTTCCTTGTTTTATATCTGAGCTCAGATATGTGAAATAATCATTTTGTGTTGTTTTGGGTTTTGGGGGTTTTGCTTTTTTAGGCTAAAAAGAAACGAAGAGTTACTTGGTGTGTCGGCAAAATCAATAAAATGAAGGAGTCACACTATGAAAGTGAATTTAAAATGCCAACAAATGTAACAACAAGAAGCCGCAAAACTGTAACTGTCCTGGGAGAAACTGATGAATGTGAGTGCCTTTAAGTGGAACCCTGCTGTGCTGTGAAAGCACCCCACAGACAGACCCTGCTATGAGAGCACCCCAAGACAGACCCTGCTATGAGAGCACCCCACAGACAGACCCTGCTATGAGAGCACGCCACAGACAGACTCTTCTCTGAGAGCACCCCACAGACAGACCCTGTCTGCACCCTCAAAGACAAACTAGCTTAGTCTCTGTGGTAAACGTGGTTAAATAAAGTGTGTTTTAGATATGATTATAGTGGCGATGATAAAAGAGAGTTAAGAAAATAAACATTCAAGAAATTCTGTTGATTTCAGTCTCTTAAGAAAGATACATTGACCTGATGTGGTGGTGCATGCCTTTAATCAGCTCTCTTAGGAGGCAGAGGCAAGCTGATCTCTAATCTACAGGGCTGCAAGGAGAGGCCCTGTCTCAAAAAAAAGAAAGAAAATGGTGCACTGTACTGTACTACCAGCCCTTGAGAAACAGGAGGATTGCCAAGAGTTCAAGGCCAGCCTGGGTTACAGAGTGAGACCCTGACGAAAGTAAAGAAAGCGGTGTAATCTAGCTGAAACACAAGGCGTGTTGTGGTTTTTTGGTTTTAATTATTCCTTTAAAATGGGGCAATATGCATCTGACATCTGCCTAAACTTTTCTAGTTTTCAAAGGGTAGCATTTATATAGGAATTAGTTTCAGAATTATGTCTCTAACATTATAATTTTTAAGGACATTTTAATCTGCTGACAGTGATCAAATCTCAGATTCAGAATTTGTCTGTTTGAATCTATATTGTTTTAGAGTGCCTTTAAGTGGAACCCTGCTGTGCTCTGAAAGCACCCCCAGAGACAGACTGCTATAAACTGTTTTGTTTCAATGACTCCAGCCAGCTGTCTTGATTCATACAGCAATGTGGTGCATGACCACATCTGCTGTGAATGTCTGCTCTTGTTGGCCTTCATACTCTGAGCACATGTTCATTTGCTCTTACACCTGCTCAGTTATCTCTGTTAACCTTATTTTGATTTTTAGCAAAATTGATGCTAAATATGTTAATGGACAAATGTCTTTCTCTTCTACTTGTAGCGCTCTGTTTTGACTCTGATATCTTCAGTAATACTCTTGAACCATTAACTGAAATAGAGTGGAATTCGGCAACAAAGCTACTGAGTGAGGTAACTATTCCGTAGAGCACTGTCTTCAGATCTGGTACTGGGTTTTGTTGTAGGTTATTATTAGCCCTGACTTGACATCAGAGATAATTTTGACTCTAGGGAAGATTCCTCTCATTTTATATCTCCTATTGATAGCTGTGAGCTACCTGCAGATAGACTAAATGCTCGTAAAGCAGGTATGTGCTAGTAGATAGAAGTTTGCTTATATCTCTTTCCAGCAAAGCTTAGGACCTATGATACTTTTCAAGTTTTTATTTTGATTTGAGAAATCCCATGAGTGTAAAGGACTGATTTAAAAGCGACAGGGTTCTCAGGCATACATTATAATTGTCAAAAGGTCTAAGAGTATGTATTAAAAATTTTTCATTTTAATTTTGGAATACAATTATGGTGCTTCCTATAATTCTGATCAGCACTAGTTAATAACTATAAAGTATTACAGGCAAAGTGTTTTTGTGTCGCTCAGACATATTCTAGAGTTTTTTGTTTATATTTCTCTTTTTTTTTAAATCCCTAGTTTAAGCTTTCTCTCTTTTTTCCCCCCTCCATCATAGTTTTTCTCAAAATGTCATGGAAAAGAGAATTGGCTTCTCTAAGTCTGGTATGGTAAAACATAGGCACTATTACCATCTTAGAGGCCAATCAGTAACATTTCCGTTTTTCTTACTGAGTTTAGTGATGTGGTCAAATGGACTTCCCAGTATTTTCTTTACTTTTCCTGTTGGACACAGGCAGATTTATTTCTTTTTATAATTTTAAGTTATTCTACTTTGAAAATAAGCTTCTATTCAAAGTCAAGCTTACTCAGATGTTAGGTTGAAGAAGAGAATGGCCTAAAGCCACCAGGTCCTTCAAAGTTAAATTAATTAATTATTCAGCTAATCTAAATTTTGATTGAATAATAAGTCAGTGCTTTGAATTTTCTCTGATTGGAAATTTGTTTTGTTTATGATAGGAACACTTAGAAAGTGAGTTGAACTCACTTCATGCTAAATATGATAATCTAGTATTGGACTATGAACAGCTAAGAAGAGAAAATGAAGACCTGGGATTGAAATTAAAAGAAAAAAGTGACTTAGATGAATTTGAGGCTCTGGAAAGGAAAGCAGAGAAAGATCAAGAGGTAAGAGCTGAAATAAGAAGACTAAACCTGACACTGTGCCGGGTCGTGTCTGTGATCGAGACACTGCTGCTTTTAATATTATTTACTATATGTACACAATTTAGAGAATTTAAGATTTAATTGAATAATTTGTGTTCCTTTCAAAATAGTCAAGTTATATTTTTTTCCCATCATGCTTATTCAGAGAAGAAATGAAAAACATCTTGAAGGGTTTAGTGTATCTGCCCAGTGATGGATTGGTCTTAACCTAAACAGTGTTCCTTGCACTTTACATGTTGTCGACATTTAATTTCCCGCGGGTACTGGAAACACTACCCTGAGCATATCCTTTTCCTAGTGAGACCAATAGGAAGTTTAACATCTCTAACTAGTCCATGTGTGGATGCTGCATGTTAATGGATTTCTCTTTCTTTAGAAACTATTCTTAAGTAGTTGAAATATTATTAGAATATGTAGAGGGACTAATTAAAGGAATTTCTAGAAATGAGCCAGGTCTCTTAATTTTTCTAAATACATGACATTATGTTACATATTAATAGGAACCAGTCTAGAAACCATTAGACTATCGGCATTCAGAAATTGTCCTCACATTGACCACAGGGATTCCTGGTGTAGGATGTCTAACTTAGACTCCACAGACAATATCAAATTGCTTTTTAGATTTTATAAAATGTTGTATTTGATATTCATACATGGATGTAATGTGTTTGGATCTAATCTATGCCCATCCCCTCCCCTCCAATTTCTCTTATACCCCCTCACCACTACTCCCAACTCCATGTGTCCCTTACTTCTTTTGTTTCTTGGTTTTTTTTTTAATTTAATACCCACTGCATTTATTTAGTGCTACCTGTATCTGCGTGGGTGGGGGACCATCTACTGGAACATGGGTAGTCTCATCATAAAGGGCCCACATCCCTGAAGAAAAGTGATTCTTCCTCTCCCAGTAGTTGTCAACCCTGATGGGGGTGGGACTTCATGAGCCCCTCCCCCATCCATGCTGGGGTTTTGACTGACATGGTCCTATGCAAATCCTTTTTATTTCTTTCTTTTCTTTTTTTGTTTATGATCTTATGCAAATCTTATGCCTTATGCATGTAATCCCAGTCATTGTGAGTTCCTGTGTGCCACTGTGGTTTGAATACATAGTCATTGTTTGGGGAGCAAAAACCCAGACTGTTAATCTGACTTGCAAAGTAGTACATGGGCCTCCCCAGAAGAGCCATTATCTTGCAATAGTTGAAGAATAAGGTAGTTTGCAGCTTTTTTCAGGTTTTTGGATGGCTAACCCAAAGGGACATGATCCTGAGTATTAGTTTTTCACCCTCTTGCTTTTTAGAGGGAGGGGGAGAAAAATCCATTCTGTGCCCAAGTTATCATTGCCCTTGTACTTAGAAATTAAAGGTATCCTGAATTTCATTAGCCTGTATCAGGAGAGGTAAAAATCTGTATGGCCTCGGTAGGGTTTCGTTTAACCTGCGTTAAATATGCATATGAGCAATGTGTAGAGCAAAGTAGACTGGAGCTAGAGTGGATTTTGTTATAGAGATGCTCTAGTGTGTGGGAAAGTATAGTATGAAACCATCTGGACTGAAGACCGATTTGGGGAGAAAAGTTAGTCAAAAGTCAAATTAAGGCCTTAGAACAGGTGGTCATTTCTTTGCATTTTCTCAAAAAGTAACAAAACCATGGATGATTTATAAGTAGGAATAAAGTAATGCAGGATGTTTAAATTGTAAAGTTTAGAGGAGTGGAACTTAAACTTCACACACTTTCTCATTATGCTCAGAACCTTCCTGTACCGTTTGGATGTACACTTTTTATTTTTACCTAAGTTAATCTTTTTCCATTTGTGAAGTGTTATGCCAAAAGGCAAGTAGCAAAGGACTTCTTTCTAGGTGTTTTCAAAAGTTAGGAGTATTTGGTACTTCTTATTGGTGAGTATGATTTGCCTATATAAAAGTTAGAAATGAGCAAGGAAGAAAAAAGTTTTTAAAAACTTTTTAAGGGCCAATTTCAAATATAAACAATACGAAGTATGTTCCAGGCCCTGGGTTCAATCCCTAGCGCTGAAAAGAGAAAGGAAAAGTATAACCAATATAAATGTCTAAAATTACACTATACAAAAAGCAACCAACTGTATGTGACAACTGAATATACAGCAAGAAGCCAGTCTGAAAACAGAATTTAAAATCATTTTTTATATAGGTTAAATGGATAAGTAATATTTTTATATATTATGTTAAAGAAAATATATCATTGAAGTTAATCCTGCTTATTCTTTTAGAGTTTTTGTTGTTATTTCAGATGGTCTCACTGTGTAGCCCTGAGGCTGTGAATTCACAGAATGCTGATAGTAAAGGCATGTCCCACCAAGCCTTGCCTCCTGGGTTTTTAAATGTGGCTACTAGAAAACCCTAATTTACATATATGGCCCATATTAAGTTTCTATTAGTGAGTTCCAGGCCAGCTGGGGCTACGGGAAGACCCTGTCTCAAAGAGAATTTTAAAAATTAAAAAATAAAATAATGTCAACTCTAGCATTAGTCTATATTCTGACAATAGTCAAAAGACTGAATTAAGCATCCAGAAAATGTCTTAATCAAGATCGTTAAATCCCTGACCTAGATTTGCTTTATGCCTTAAGTGCCTGTCTGATTATAAGTCATTCTAAGGGGAAGTATTTTCTCTTCAGTTCACTTGTTTTGGATACAAAACTTTCTGGTAGTCAAAAGTTCAAAGCTATGGATATTTTGATAGAAAACTAAAACAAATACCTCTAACTTTCTTTCTTTGTAGTCAAATACTATAAAGCAGTAGCATCATTTTTCTATTCCTGTAGAATTGAAACAAAATCTGGGTTGTTAATTTGGGGGGGGGGGCATTTTACTATTTCCAGTTGATGCTTGCTGATTTGCTAATAACATTATTATAGCTTTATGATATAATTATGACATCGTGCTAAAAACTTTTTTTCTAACTTGTTTTGTGAGTCTGGGTTTGTTTGGATGGTGTCTTGGATTTTTTTCTGCTGCAGAAGCTTAAGCAATTACTCTCTCAACCCTTTCCATGCAGGGTGATTCCAAAGCAGTACAAGACTGCTTTCTTTCTTTTCTTTCTTTTTTTTTTTTTTTTTTTTCTGTTTTCTTGTCTATTTTTGCTTTATTAACTGTTGGTTTGCTGTTTCCTGTTCACTTGCTCTTACAGATGCAACTAATTCATGAAATTTCCAACTTAAAGAATTTAGTTAAGCATGCAGAAGTATATAACCAAGATCTTGAGGTAAACATTTATGTTGGCATTCCTATGAGTAACTACACCTGTAAAATGGGTATCATTCATTAAATGTGATTACAGAAAATGGAAGGATTATATTTTAAATATTAGTAACTGAATTTTGATCAATTTAAACTGTTAAATATAAGTACTTTTTATAATCATTTTGAATTCAAATCATATATTAAATTCTATTTCTTTGTTGTTTGATTCTTTTAGAATGAACTAAGTTCAAAAATAGAACTGCTCAAAGAAAAGGATGACCAGATTAAGACTCTCCAGAAATGCATAGACTCCCAAAAGTCAGAAAATATGAGAGCAGATTTGTCATATGCATCGGTAAAAGGCTTTCTGCTGTGTGATTTTTTTTTTTTTGCATTTCTATCGTAATCATCCTAGTAAATGTTTACATTGTGCCTACTGTGTAGCAGGCTTGGCTATAATCACTTATGTACTTATTCTGCCCATAGCCCTTTGATTAACGTACTATTAGTGTCATTGCCATTTATAAAACAAGAAACATGAGGATATTCGTCTTTGAGTAAATGGAAGAAAGGGGAAAGCCTTAATTAAACATCAGTGATACAAAAATGTCATTTTTTTCTCAATTTTTGGATGAAAATACGTGTAGTAGTGTATAGTCAAGATCTTAGGATGTGACGGGGCTGGAGAGATGGCTCAGAGCTTAAGAATACTGGTTGTTCTTGCAGAAGACCTGGGCCCAAATTCCAGCACCCACATGGCAGCTAACAACTGTCTGTAACTCCAGTCCCAGGGGATCCAACAGCCTCTTCTGACCTCCGCGGGCATTGCACGACACAGGTGCACTTACCTACATGCAGGCAATACATGCATACACATAAAATAAAAATAAAATTAAAAAAAAAAAAAAAAAAGAATGTTTATGCTGGAACTGACCAATGGTTAGATATGAGTTCATAAATTTTATTAATTCATATAAGATTCATGTATTCTCATAATTAAGTAAACACTAACAAATTCCTTAAATTATACTTCCACACGTTGCTTTTATGATACAGGAAAGTAAGCCCAGAATCTTTGAACATGGTTTCGTTTGTTGGGTTAGCAGCCTGTTTTCCCCCTTTCAGTCCGTGGGCTTCCATGGATATGTTCTCTAGAGTATTTTCCAAATCTACGAAAACCAAATCCTTTTTGTCACCTGCCTAGGAAAATACTGAAGACCTAAAACAAATCAGACAAACTCTGTTTGATGCCGAAACTGTAGCCCTTGATGCCAAGAGAGAATCAGCCTTCCTGAGAAGTGAAAATCTAGAGCTAAAAGAGAAAATGGTGAGTAATTTCTCAAAAATGTGTGACCGACAAGGCACATTAATGATCAGTACTTTTTCATGGATTTTCAATGTCTTTCCAATAGAATGAACTTTCCAATTCTTATAAGCAAATGAAAAGTGACATTCAGCTGTATCAAAGCCAACTGGAGGCAAAAAAGAAGATGCAAATGGACCTGGATAAGGAATTGCAGTCTGCATTTAATGAAATAACAAAGCTCACTGCCCTGATAGATGGCAGAGTCCCCAAAGGTACTTCATCATTTCAACACCTCTTTGCAAACTGACTTCCTCTAGAAACGTATCTAAAAGAGTTGACAGTATTCCCAAATTAAATGCTTTCTATACTCTGATTTTTTTTTTTTTTTCTGGTCTTTTGAGACAGGGCCTCCCTGAACTTGATATGTAGACCAGTTTGGCCTCAAACTAACAGAGATCTGCTTGCCTCTGCCTTCTGCGTGCTGAGATTAAAGGCGTGTGCCACCACTCCTGGCTAGACTCTGTTTTTTTAATAACTTAATATTCAGTTTTAATATCATTTGATGTCAGTGTTTATAAACATTTTTATGGGTTTCAAATCATAGGGGTTTAATTTTTTTTTATTTTTTATTTTTTTTATTTTTTTAATTTTTGGTGTTTTTGAGACAGGGTCTCCCAGTAGCCCCAGCTGTCCTGGAACTCACTATGTAGACCAGGCTGGCCTTGAACTCACAGAGATCCGCCTGCCTCTGTTTCCCGAGTGCTGTGATTAAAGGTGTGCGCCACCACACCGGGCCTAAAATTTATTTTTTAAATACAGTAGAATGACTTGAGAAAGGTGATTCAAAATTTTTAAAAATTAAATCACTTTTTGTGTCAACATTGACTAATTTATCAAAATATTCCTAGATTTGCTTTCCAATTTGGAACTGGAGAAAAGGATTACTGAGCTCCAGAGAGAACTTAATGAAGAAGCTGAAGGAAAGGAAACTTTGCGAAAAGAAGTCCAGTTGCTCTCAGAGCTGAAGTGTTTACCCTCTGAAGTAGAAATGCTGAGGAAAGAGGTAAGCGGGCTTACGTAGCAGGCAGGGCTCTAAACATCTGACTGAGTGCTCAGTGAAAAACAAATACAGTTCATGTTTCTAATTTGGATAGAAAAAACACATTGTCAAGGTATATTAACAATGTGCTTAGTAACATAGTCCATGTCTGGCTGTTATGTGTAGACTTCAAATGTATCTAGACAGTTCTATTCCCTACCCTTAGGGTTTGCTTTTTTTTCTTGGTAATAGTCATATCACTATTTTGAAGAAAAGTAGAAAATAACAAGGTAGCCCAAGATGGTAGGTCATATCCACATTCCAAGCATGCAAGAGGTCAAAGTGGGAGGGTTTAATAATTTTTTTTTTTAATTTTTTGTGTATGAGTATATTACCTGCATGTATGTAAGTGCACCTGTGTTGTGCAATGCCCCTGGAGATCAGAAGAGCGCATCAAATCCCAACAGCCACCATATGGATGCTAGGATCTGAACCCAGGTCCCCTGCAAGAGCAGTCAGTGCTCTTAACCACTGAGCCATGTCTCCAGCCCTGGAAGCAGGCGATTTGTTGGGAGTCCAGATCAGCCTGGGCACCAGTGTGAGACCCTGGCTCAAAAAATAAAAGTTTTATTAATGTAGAGAACAAATGTCTGAGACGTGCTCAGCCGTAAAATAGGGCATGTATATTACACCCCTTTCTCCCAAGACACAGAAAACACCAAGAAAGAAGCAGAGAAGGAATTGTAAGAGGAAGTGGGGAGAGAGCCTAGGGCAAAACCGTGTTTTCTGGACATGATGGCCGTTCACTCATGAATTCATAGCTTCTGTGGTTGCCTGAACAAGATCAAGCCAGTCAACATTCCAGTCTGGGTAGGGAAGGGGCACAGAAGCCTCTACCCCTGGCTGAGAATCTATTGGCAACAGATGGCCACTAGGGGAGGGAAAGCCAGTTTCCTCTAGTGCTGTGGTCCTCCATAGGTTAACCATGCTCCAGAGGACATGGTCCTCACAGCCATGCACCTATGGGCTGCATAATTTGGACTTAGTGGATTATTTTAAAAAATAAAGAGGGGACAGGGAGATGGTTCAGTGGTTAGAGCACTGGCTGTTCTTGCAGAGGACCTAGATTCCGTTCCCAGCACCCACATGGTGGCTAACAACCATTAGTAATGCCCTCCTCTGGCCTCTGCATTCATTGCATGCATGGGTGCACTTACATACATGTAGGCAAAACACTGATACATATAAAAAATTTTTAATTAATTTTAAAAGAGGATACAAAGTTAGAAATGGGATGTCGTGGAGGGGGTACAGGGGTAGAATCCAGGAGGGTGGATTTAAGATTTAAATGCATTGTATACCTATATAAAATTCTACAAAAAATCAGTTAAAAATGTTATATTTTTTAAAAGCAGCTGGGCGTGGTGGCGCATGCCTTTAATTCCAGCACTCGGGAGGCAGAGGCAGGCGGAGCTCTGAGTTCAAGGCCAACCTGGTCTACATAGTGAATTCCAGGTCAGCTGGGGCTACAGGGAAAAAAATTAATTAATTAATTAATTAGAATAATAATAATATAATAAAAAGCAAGGCAGAAGGGTAGCACTGGCAGGTTTGGGGAGCAGTGGGCATCTCCAGGGTGGTGAGTGGTTCTGCAGACCCATGGCCTACCAGCTTTCCTTTATTTCTGCCTTCATAAAAGAAAGAAAAACAAGAATTTGAATGCTGACTATAGCAGGCATCTTACTAAAGAGCATCAAAGCACTGTATTGTTTAGTTATCCCACAAACATTGAAAAACTAAGTCCCTCCTCAATACTTTGAAACTTAGGTGCTATTTTTAGTCCCAGAAGCAGTTATTAAGCTAATAGTGGAGCCACTCCAAAGCTGCAAACCCACCTCTGCGCCGCGTACCCCCACCTTCTCTGCCTCTTTTGGCTCTCTTCACTTTCCCTCATTGTCCCATCTTTCACAATGATTAAACTATCCATTCACCTACATAATTTAAAAAGCATCATTTATCTAGAGATGAGAGTTTTAGAAACTTCAACTGCTGTCAGTAACCTTTAGTTTAAAAAAAAAAAGAGAGAGAGAAAGTCGTATTTGAAGGAAAACAGTGAAGTGTCAGCCTCATAGTAGTGCTGGTTACACTGTAGAATGATGCCTAAGGATATCTGTTCTGTTTCTACTGACTCTCCACGTACTCTTTACCCAGAGACATTAGGGAAAACACTGAAGATGAAAAGATGAAGTTAAACAGGCTAAGCAAAGACTTAGCAACAAGAACATTGCCTTGTGCCAGGGGTGTGACTGAACAGTAGAGGACGAGTCTGGTGCACACAGGGCTCTCTTCCATCCCCGGGACCGAAAATAATAGTAGTCACTGAGAAAACTCAGTTTAAATCCTTCCTTAAGTAACTTTTGTTTCCCCTGAAAGTTGCTTCAGGATGTATTTTGCTGACATCAGTAAATCTTGCTTCTCCATAGCTACATGAGAAATCTGAAGAGCTCTATGTAATCTCATCAGAAAGAGAAAGATTGCTCTCTGAAGTAGCTCATAAAGACAGTAGAATTCAGGGCTTACTTGAAGAAATTGGGAGAGCTGAAGATGACCTCGCAGCTTCCCAGCCGAATTACAAAAGCTCTGGTGAAGAATGTCAGGCTTTGAAAATCCTTCACACTGAACTTGAGCAAAAATATGAAGCGGCCTTGGAGGAGAATGAGAGAATGAAGCAGGAGGTGGGAAATCTCTCTAGAGAAGCAGAAAGCCTTGGTTCAAGTGTGGATTCCTTGAAGACCGAGGTTAGTGCAAAACGTCAATCCAGAAATGATCTTTCGTGTTCCTGAGTGACGCCTACACACGTGCCTCTGTCCATATGTGTGACAGAATTTCTGCTTTCACCGTTTCACACACTTTTTGTTTTTAAAGCTCTCTCACAAGACTCAAGAGCTTCAGCAGAAAACAGCGGAGAGTCAAGAAAGGTTAAATGAGGTGCAGCAGCTGAAAGCAGAGTTAGCAAGTCAAGACTGCAGCCTGCGGAGTGTAGAGAAGGAGAACACTCTGCTGTCTGAGAAGCTTCAGCACAGCGTAGAAGAAGTCAGAGCTTTAACCCGAGAAAAGGATGGCCTAAAGCAACTCCAAGAGAGCCTGCGAGCCGAGAGGGACCAGCTCCGAAGCGACATTCAGGACACTGTAAACATGGTAAGGAGTTGTTTATGATCAAGGGGTAACTAAACTGGCTGTGCTTCCCGTTCTAATGGAAGTTGTTTTATTTCTCCTACAAAGAACATAGACACTCAAGAACAATTACTAAATGCTCTTGAGTCTTTGAAACAGCACCAAGAAACAATTAGCACACTGACAAAGCAGGCCGAGGAACCGTGCGGGAGCTTGCGTGTCAAGGCCGGAGGAGGCAGAGATGAAGTTCAGCAGGAGGTAAAGGGGAGCTGTGGGTTTGCGTGCGCGGCAGTCCCAGCTTCCTCCTTCCGAACACCTCGTGTGCAGTGCTGATCTGAATTCTATGTGTGTTTAAAATGGTAATAGATGACAATTTTATTAGCATAAACTGACTGCCTTTGAAGTAACTTAGAATAAAACTGCTTATAGATAAAATGTAGTATTAAATTTTGAATATCTGATATTTTCTGCATCTTGATGTGTTGTAAATATCTATAAAAGCTTTCTTCTATTTTACCATGCATAAGAACCTGGGTTTAATACCCAGTATAATAATAATTTGTAAAAAGCCATGCTGAATGCTTTTAAAAAATCAGATTTATTATTAAGGCTAAAATATTTATTTTATATTATAGTTTCTGTATAGCTTCGAGTTCACAATTCAGCCCGTTAAAGAGCATCTTTAATTTTATAGAAGGGCTTTATTTACTATACCTTTCTACCTCCCAAAATACCTTTCAAATACTAATTATCAGAAACTTTTAATAATCTTACATTTTTTATTTCTTCCACTTGTTGCTAAAATTCCTTCTGGGAGGCACAAATTCCCTCTCCCTTGGGTTCCTATGACAAAGCCAGGTACAATTACCAAACTGCAGTCTGGGAAACCAGAGTTTATTGGACTGACTCACAGAGCAGTGGGTGAGGGATTACTTACAGGAGTGTGGGTAGTTGTTCTCTCCCTTCCCACCCCCCACTCACAAGGCCACACTGGAAAGTCTTCATCCAGGACTGGGCAACCTTCCATGGCCAGAACCCCTCTGCCAGCTTCCACCCCTTGGCTGCCCTTAGTCCCTTCCCCTTGTGCAACTTGGGCCACCTGGTTGGTTGGGAGGTGTGACTGACTCTCCCAGCCCCTCCTTTCTTGCTGTCAACAGTCAGGTTTGTTTGTGATGATCTTAAGCAAGCCAGTGCAACCAAGCTTAGAAGGCCATCTGTCGTTTGACATTTGGAGGACAGCTCTGTGCTGTGCCAATTAATCCATAAAATTAACTATTAGAAATTTTCAGCGTTCTTCTAAGGAAGTTTGGTAAATTAATCTTTCATACATCTACAACTTGAAGTACTATATAATATGTTTCTTTAATTTGTGGTATATACCAAAGCTTAGCGCCTTGGCAGTTATGAAATCAGTAGGGCTAAGGTCACTTACTGTATCACCGATCTTCAAAACTCTTTTCCTGTCTTCAGACTCTTGACAACTGACTTGCATTCTGTCTCTAAATGTAATGGCTCAGAGACCTCAGGTAGAATCATGTACAGTTTCTCTTGTGTATGACATTTCTCAGTTACCATAATGTCCTCACGCTTCGGGGTATAGCATGTACTAGATAGAGTTTTCTATCTTTTTGAGGCTGAATAATATTTAAGACGGTATGTGTGTGTGTGTGTGTTTGTGTGTGCACATGCATGTGTGCATGTGTGTAGCACATTTTACTTGACCCTTCATCTGTCATGCACATGTAATCTGCTTCTATCATTTGACTGTTATGAATAGTGTCGTGTAAGTATGTGTACTTTATGAAGACTTGGCTTTCAGTCCAGATGTAGAACTACTGAGTCACACAGGATTTCTATTTTTAATATTTTCAGGAAGCAGTGTAATACATTTCTTAGTGGCCACACCATTTTGCACAGCCACCAGCAGTGCAGTTTCTGGGCTGCGTGTGTTTTCCTGTGGTAGACAGGTTTTCTCATAAGCTCAAAGCCCTGGGTTTGATACCCAGCACTGCAAAAGAAAAGAAAAAAATTCCTCTGGTTGCTGTGTTACCTCCACCAGTGGTTTTTCTGCTGAAGATTGGTGTTCAAGGCCTTGTGTGATTCCATATGGACTTTACTATCTTCTTCCCAGTTCTATGAAGAATGTCATTGGAATTTTATGTGAATTGCATTGAATCTGTAGATTTCAGTAGTGTGCCCATTTTCACAGTATTCTGCCAATCCATGAGCATAGGAGGTCCTTCCATCTTTTACTGTATTTTTCAATTTCTGTCTTTAGTGTCAAAGTTTTCATTGTAGTGGTCTCTCATTAGCTTGGTTGGGTTTGTTCTTAGACTTTTTTTACTTTTAATTATGTATATATGTGGGAAGGAAGGGTATGTACAGGTAAACGAGAGTGCCTTAGAGACCAGAGGTCTTGGATACCCTGGAGCTGGAGTTCCAGGTGCCTGTGAGCTTGTCCGACTTGGCTGATGGAATTTGAAGTCAGGTCCCATAGAAGAGCATTGTATGTTCTTAACCACTGAAACATCTCTCCAGTTCTTTTGTATTTTTAAGCTATTATGAATGGAATCTTTCCCCTGGTTTGTTTCTCAGCAAATTCATTGTTTGTATATAGAAAAGGTACATGTGGTATGAAGTTAAAAATTGTTTAGGAGCTAACCACCATTCATAAGTCCAGTTCCAAGGGATTGATACCCTCTTCTGACCTCCCTGGGTGGGCACTATACACATGTGGTACTAAAATTCTTTTTTAAAGAGTGGGGAAAGAAATTACACAAAAAAATAAAGATTTTTTTTTTTTTTTTTAAAGATGAAGTATCAAAGCTGGAGTAGGGGGAGGATCAGGTGAACTGAGGACTCTTGTTGCTATGTCTGATTTCCACCAGAATTTTCCTTACAGTGTCTCTTTGCCTCTGGTTGGCCATGCTTAGCTGCTCATTCAGTGGGCTGGACAGATTCTCTCATGTCCTGTGGGACACCCCAGATGTTACCCTGAGTGTGGCTGTTTTAGCTGAGGGATGTCTCCCAAGCAACAACAGCTCTAAGGAGGCCCTGCTTCTGTTCTTTCAAGGCCTCCTGAATACTGAGCACCCTCCTGGAAGGATGCTGTGGGTACCATGTACATCTCTGGAAACTGCAAAGTTCTCTCAGCACAACAGTAGTCAACAACTGATAGGTGACTTCAGATTTTGATCCACTCACTTGTCTAAGGCCCAAATCTGTCAAATGCCAGGGTAATTCTAACTTAATACTCATTGGCTGTCTTGATCTTGTGCAAGTCTTATCCGTGAAGTCACAGTCACTGTGAGTTCATTTGTACTACAGCCCTGTCCTATCCTAGAAATTCTGTTTGACTGCAGACATCTACTTCCTCTGGCCCTGAAAATCTTTCTGCCCCCTCTTCCATCCTGATTCCTGAGCACTGGGAGTAGGAGATGTAATATAGATGTCTGTCTTAGAGCTGAGCACTGCACAGTCTCGTATTCTCTGCATGTTGACCACTTGTGGGTCTCTGTATTAATCCCCATCTACTGCAAAAAGAAGTTCTCTGATGAGGGTTGAATGATGCACTAACCTATGAGTATAAAGATAAAACATAGGGAGAAATTTACTACTAAGCAGGATATAATATTGGGGTCTATGCTAGGGCCTATGACCTTCCCAACCACGGGTTTTGGGTCTAGTTAATGATACCAGGCCTTTGCTCTGTCTTGTAGGACAAGCCTTAATTCCAATCAGAAAATTGTTTATTGCTCCCTTAACAATCATGCCACTGTTGTACTGGTAAGAACATCTTACCAGGTCATTTGTTACTATATTGCTCACAGGGTTCACAACTGGGTAAGACTGTTGATTACTTTTCTTCCCCAGTAGCATACATAGATCCTTCCAGTACTATGACAGCTAGCCAATACAGGTGAAGCTTCCAGGTCAGTCCCCACTTGAACTCCTTGTCCTCAAGAATGTAGTGTTCTTCAGTAACAGGGTCTTGCCTTCAAGTTCTAAAGGATTACCAGGAACAATGGCAACAGTTTGCAAAGAGGTAACCCATTTGTGGCATGCAGGTTTTTTTATTTGGCAGCCTGTGATTTAGGAGACAGATTGTCCCCTCATTACAGAATTAAGTCCATTTAAACTCCTTTTTAATGTGTGCATATATGTATGTATTTTAGGAAGCTCCTACAGTAGTAGGTTTCCATATGGCTTGTTCAGAGGTCTTCAGTGTTAGTTGTCCCTGCCCAGATTCCCTTCTCTACCCTGCCCTCCCATCCCCCACACATTAATCCTTGTTCTGTTCTCCTTTCCCTTGCAAACCACCTGCATTCTGTCCCCTCTCCTTTCAAACCTTCCCTCCCCCCTGGTCCCATTTAAATGCACACACCTAAAGACTCAAAGCTACCATCTGCAGATGAGGGGACATGCAGTATTTGTCTTTCTGGGTCAGGCTTACCTCCCTCAAAATGATTATTTCCAGCTTTCTCTGTTTATACGAACTTCATAATTTCATTTTTCTTTACAGCTGAGTCACTCCATTGTGGCTATGTACCACATATTTATTATTCATTCTTTCGTTGATAGACGCCTAGGCTGTTCCCATTTCCTGGCTATTGTAAATAAAGCAGCCATGAACATGGATGAGCAAGTATCTCCGTAGTAGGATACAGAGTCCTCTAGGTATATGCCCACGTGGTATAGCTGGATCTTGTGGTTTGTCTGTTTCTAGCTTTTTGAGGAATGTCTACTGATTTCCATAGTGACTATACTACTTTGCATTCTCACCCACTGTGAATAATTGTTCCCTTTTTCCCATATCCACAACAGCATTTTTTTAAATCTTAGCCATTTTGGCCAGAGTAAGATGAAATCTCAAAATAGTCTTAACTTCCCGTTTTCTGATGGCCAAGGGTGTGGAGCATTTTCTCAGTCATTTGGGTTTCTTCTCTTGAGAACTGTCTGTTCAGTTCTGTAGCCCAATGTTTTAGTCTGCTTGTTTATTTTTCTTAGTATTCATCTTTTTCAGTTCTTTATACATTCTGTCAGATGTATGGCTAGTAAGCATTGTTTTTCCCATGCTGTAAGCTGCCTCTTCACCCAATTGATTGTGCCTTTTGCTCTATAGCTTTTTTAGTTTTAGGAGGTCCCATTTGTCCATTGCTGGTCTTAATGCCTACACTACCAGATTCCTATTCAAAGAGTACGTTGACGTGTCTTTCCTCCTTTCTCCTAACAAATTCAGGGTATCAGGTCTTACGTTGAAAAAGTCCTTGATCCATTTGGAATTGAGTTTTGCGCATTGTGAGAGATAAGAGTCTAGTTTGATCTTAATCAGGTGATTGTAGGAACAAGGGCTTTTATGTGGGTCTGCAACTCTGTTCCCCTGACCATTATATCTGTTTTTATGCGAATTCCATGCTGTTTTTATTACTATGGCTTTGTAGTATAACTTGAAATCAGGATGGTGAAACCTACAGTAATATTTTTATTATGCAGGATTATCTTGGCTATCCTGGGTTTTCTGTGCTATCAAATGAATTTTAAGATTAGTTTTTGATGGGAATTAATTACATTGAATCCTGTAGATTGCTTTTGGTCAGATAGCCATTTTCACAATATTAATCCTGCCAACCATGACCATGTGTGGCCTTTCTATCTTGTGGTATCTACAGTTCTTTTTTCACTGTCTTTTTTTTTTTTTTTTTTTATTTTTGGTCTTTTTGAGACAGGGTCTCCCTGTAGCCCCAGCTGTCCTGGAACTCACTATGTAGAC